CATGTTCCACGATAGCATGGGATACTTTTTGTCGTATTGAATAATACCCATGCGGGAGAACGGGTTTTTGAGGATATCGCATGGGGGTCGCTGTGACATCTTGATGTCAAGCGTTAAAGTCTCCTTCATTCGAATTGATGATATAAATGTGGATTATTCGAGAGGGCGAAAGACGGATTTGAGGCATCTACATCAATTCTACAACATAAAATAGGAATAAAAAATTTTATTATTCAGGAGATTTTTTTTTATCATTGATTGATAATTTTTTATGCAGATTCCGGAATTAAAAAAATATGGTAGGAATTTTCGGCTGAATTTTCGATATATTGTTGGTAAATTTTCATCAAGTGAGAATATCTCTGAAATTTCAAGGAATTTTATCCTTGAAAATTCATAATTTGAGGAAAAAATAAACGGAAAATGTCAATTTCAGTTCATTTATGAATAGATTTTTGAATTCTTCAATTTAAGTATTGAACTCACAATTGATTGACACGTCAGTGACATTTGGCAATGAATATTCATCTGTTTATTGAAAATTCTAGTGAATTGGAAAATTCTTGTTTTCCACTAAAAAAATTTGGAATTTCATGGAATTATCTGTGAAATTTTAAATCTCTCGAGTCATTTCCCGTTAAATCGAAATCCCTAGAATTCCCCCATTTTCCAACAGTAACCATGCACATGTCGTCCACATGTGATCGCCTAAATTTAATCTATCCACTGAAAACTGTGTTTCCTCTTCCACCCCAACAAACCCCCATCCCAATTATTCCCACAACACCGACAAACTCCCCTCATCCTCCAATCCCTGAAACCAAACACTCCAACTTTCCCAACTTCTTCATATCCCCGCACCGCAACGCCCAGAACAGGTTTAACTCTCGCGATAACACCAAGATGCTTGTAAATAAAGTTCATGTGCACTTGCCATCAAATTTTTTGGCGCTCTTGTTACTGCTCCCGTATAGCGTGTCCCGTGATCATTTGATCGATTCACAAGATCGTGTAATTTATCCTCGAAAGCCGGCAGTCGCGCCATCTTTGAATTGGAGCGATAAGTCACCTCGGCGAGGGGCTCTCCCCCCCTCGCAGTCCGTACGAGGTAGGGTCCGGGTGTCTTACCAATACACTAAAGTAAGCGATTACGTATCACGAATAAGGGATCCGGATAAACCAGACACCCATGGACGAATCGTGATACGTATTGCCTTCTCGCACCATTGGATATACCTTTGGTTATACACTCCATGTTGCTTATCTTATAAACTTGCCTACCTATCCTTGCTCCTGATACTTCCGTTCTTCGTCAGCCAACTCATGCTGAATTCACTTGGTTACATTTTTTAATTTTTCTTTTGCACAAAAAAAGATAGGACTTTTTAGTCTCATTCTCAATTCATCGTTCTCACCGGTGGATCGTTACACGATTCGTTCCGGGTGATATGAAATTCTCGTTTAAGTTCACGGAGAGAAATCCCTTCGTTATTAATTAATCGATTCAACTACACTGATATCGAATTTAATCTGTTCGATTGCTTTACGAACTATCGGGTTTGCTGAGTTACTCGGAGAATTACTCGTATATCCATGGGGTATTAAACGGTACTGGGTGGTCTATATAACATAATTCGTGTTGTGTAGTGGAGATGCTCGCGATAATGAGGGATAATTTCACGGAGAAGCTCATTTGACACTAATATATGATTTGGCTCGATGACGTGGGCATTCTGCGTTTGCAGTGAGTAAGTGTTCTCGAGTAGTGATGCCGCGAGAGGCTTTACGAGACACCACGAGACAATACTTTGGAGGGATAGTCTCGATCTCAGTGAAGGCGGAAATTTTTGGTCTCGTCTCAGTCTCGAAATACGCAGTATCGACTCCGCTCGTGATGACTCCGAGGCAATTTATATCACCTCGGTGTCCAGTTTTTCGCGTTTTTTATATCTAGAAAATCGAGACGAGACAACGCGAGACAAAAACCGAGATTTTACGTTAAAAATACGAAAAGCTTGAGACCCAGATGAGATAAATCGACTCGGAGTCATCACAAGAGGAGTCGATACGGCGTCTTTCGAGACTGAGACGAGACCAAAGATTTCCATGTTTATTGAGATCGGGACCATCTCTCCAGAATATTGTCTCGTGATGTCTCGTGAAGTCTCTCGCGGCATCACTATTCTCGAGTGAAATTCAGGAAAACTCCATCGGCAGTAATGGCGATTGCTAACAATGCCACGCGACCAACAGTTGTGCCCGGCCCATGTTTGTCCCTCAATTTCAATATTTTATTGTTTCCACATACAACTGCTTGTGCCTGGAATGAGCTAGAAGGCTTCGTGCGCGTGGCGCACGCGTGTCACCTGTCTGTCACGCTCGCGTGGATATGCAATGGTGAGGCTGATTATGGGTGGTGATGGTGCCTCTGCACTGGGCACCACCCTCCGGGGAGATATGGCCGAGTGACCCCCAGGACCTGCTGTGTTTTGATATAAAGGTTCATCCGAATATTTCGAGGGGGTAATTAGTTGAAATGGAAATTGAATTAATGAGCGCACGCTTCCGGAATAGTGGTTTATTGGCGTCTAAATTGGAGTGGTACACTGAGGGAAATTTCAATGGTAATTTCAACTACAAGGGAATTGTCAACAAAATAATAGTTACAGTAACATAAACATTGTAGATTCAAGTATTATATTAAAGTGATGAATCCTAGTTTAATCTACAAAGTTTATTGTTACTGTAAATATAATTTCTTTGACAATTCCCTTGTAGTTAAAATTACCATTGAAATTTTTCTCAGTATACTTTTAGAAGGAAGATTGTTCATTTTGGGAAGTTCAAAGTGAAGCAAGGGGCATAATGAACTTGTCTGAAAGATTAGCATTCTTGCTCGAAAGAGATGGTTTTGCTTCGAAATTGTCTTCTTGAATTGAAAATTTCGTTTTTGATTCAATGATTTCTATTCTTGTAAAGGCGGAAGAACATCAGAGAGCTGTCCTTGAAGAGAAGTGCTGCATCTTTTGTGATAAAGGTTAGTTGTAGTCCTTTTCGAAGGCAATAAGCACAAGCAAATTTGTCTGAGGGGGGAAAGTATTAGGAGGTTAGAATTGTAGTTCATCAGCTCTAGTTTATTCCGAAAGGAAGCTTGATCGTTCATTTTAGGAAGTTTTTCATGGGGAAAGCAATATAATAAACATGTCTGAAGAATGACCAAATTTTTGTTCAAAGGCCCCATCTTTCTTTCAAAATTATCTCCTTGAATAGAAAATTTCGTTTTTAACTCGACGGTTTTCTTTCTTGTAAATCGGGAAGACCAGCAGAAAAGCTCGCAATCATCTAAAAGAAGTCTTCTATCTTTTGTGATAACGGTTAGTCATAATTTTTAAGATTGTGCTTTATCTGCTCCAGTTGGTTTCGAAAGGAAGCTTGATCGTTCATTTTTTAGGAAGCTCTCCATGAGAAAAGCAACATAATCATCTTTTCTGACGCATCAGTGAACATTCTTATTCAAAAGTATCAGTTTTATTTCAAAACTGTCTCTTTGCATAACAAATTTCGTCTCCGAATCGGTTTCCATTCTTATCAATCAGCAAGTTGTCCATCTTTTATGATATCTTAGTTACAAATCACCAAGTCCAAACGAAGCAGGCTTAGAATCGCGGTTTACCACCCCCAGTTGACGCAGTGAATTCAAATATTTCCGAACATATCCAGACGGTTAGACAATTGAACCCCATATGTTCCAGGAATCATGCATCGGTGAAGTCCATGAAGCTATCAGCCCCGTCTTGGGGGTTGCAGGTGCTCCCAAAAGGTTTTCTTAGTCAAACCAACCCCCTTCGAGTAGATTCCTGGGCATGTGTGAAGGATTCATACGTAACCCCTGGCCACTATCAACAAGCAAAACTTCCTTGGGGTTACTTCCGCAGGTGCGGGAGGTCCTCGGCGGATTCATGCATGCCTGATTACTGGGGGGCAGGTTCCTCGGGGGTCCTTGCGCACTGGCACGCGCCTGCAAAACTTTTCTTACCGGATATTTTTCATTTGCGCTCCGACGACATGTGCCAAGGATACACGCTTCGCTGATTGTTTCATGTGTTTTGTTTTCCAAAGCGCGAAACTCACAGGTAGCGGGGAAGTAGTGTCTCTTGGTGGTCGCAGGTGACGCTTGCTGGTTGGTTGGGAAGACAGCAGGTGGGCACCCACGCGAGCTAACATGGCTTTGTTATCTGGCCCAATCAATGACATTTTCTTGAGGCTTAACTGATTCGGCGTTTAAAGAATCGGGAGAAAGGCTTGGGTGGTATTTAGAGGGATTCAGATCTTTGAACTTTAAGTAATGACGATGAGATTATGGGAGAACTGTGCACAATGTACTAATATGAAATATAATGGTTGTGCTCTTCGTCAAACAAAAAAACCTCAACAAAAGACAACTCTTTTTCCGATAATATTGCAACATTTCTATTTAAATTCATGCGTAAAGTAATCAAGGGGATATTCACCGAAGACATTTCCATTTGATTATTGATTGAATAGAATTGTGGTACAACACAATTAGGGTGAACTCGCCTTGATAGCCACTCAACTATCAGAAACCCTGAGTAGGGTCCCTTTGAACGATGGCCCATGAAACCCGTGGGATAATCAAACACGAAATGTTGGTCAAACAAATTAATTCCTTGTGTGATTACTGCATAGGGGTTGCCTAGTATTGAGATGACATGAAGCGTGTGATCGAAATTCTATTGTACACACTTTGGTAATTGGATAGACGTCTGTTGTCACTCGGAAAAATGCAATGTTATGGAAAGTTATTCTTAGCCGTAACAATAATAACATGTGCTCAGCATGATATACAACAGTAATCGGGGATAATTCAGATGCGTTGGTATTTACGAACTGCAAACAGGAAAATCGCGGGTTCTCGGGCTATGTGAATGACATCAGTATAAATACTTCGGGTTTAATGGAGCATGAATTCATTGTTCTAGTGATCCAACTGGAGAGAGCAACTGCGAATATGGATAGATGGATGAAACTCTTCGGGTTCGTCTTCGTGGCGATCATAGGTGAGTCAGACCTCATGAATTCTGTGAATCTCCGTGGAATTGATACATGCATGGGTCGATGCCGTCGACAACCTTTCAGCTTTGAAGATCACAAACGCACAGAACTCCAGCGAGTCTACCTCTCTAGAATCTCCTCGTCCAGACCCAAGATGCACAGCTAGATGTACTGGAGGTCCTCACGACAAGTGCACCCTCTGTGGTACAGTGTGCCCACTCACCTGCGCCAGACCAGAACCTGGCTTTTGCACAAAAGTGAGTACTGAAGTACCAGAATACGACAAGTTTCCTAATTTCGATGGCATCCTCGCAGCAATGCGCCGTCAACGTCTGCCGCTGTGAGGAAGGTTACGTTCGCAATGCCAATGGACAGTGCGTCAGGCCCAGCCAATGTCCAAGGAGGGACCCAAGGTGCACTCGCAGATGCACGGGGGGGCCTCATGATAGGTGCACCCTCTGCGGTAGCGCGTGCCCGCTTACTTGCGCCAGACCTAATCCCGGAATTTGCACTTTGGTAAGGGATCTTCAGTCTTCGTTACTTTCTAGCCAGATCCGTTGATGCGGAGTCGAATCAAATCGTGTTTTCGTTCTTGTAAGAATAGAGATTGAAATAGTTTTGAAGTTTTTACGTTCTTGCAGCAATGCATAGTGAACACCTGCGAATGTGAGAGAGGTTACGTTCGCAATGCTGAAGGACAATGCGTCAGGCCCAACCAGTGTCCAGCTAACAGGGAACCTACTGAATGTACTCGCAGATGCACTGGTGGTCCTTATGACAGGTGCACCCTCTGCGGTAGCGCGTGTCCACTTAGTTGTGACAGACCAAATCCTAGGATTTGCACTTTGGTGAGGGATCTTCAGTTTAAGTCTTCCTCGTTTTCTGTTAACGTCCGTTGATGAGGTGTAGCTCCCGCGTTTTAAGGAATCTTTAGGTTGAATTGGTCAAGAGTCGAATCGAATCGTGTTATCGTCTTTTTGAGAATACATAATACGATGCTTTGAAGTTTTGACTCCCTTCCAGCAATGCTTAGTGAACGTCTGCGAATGTGAGAGAGGCTACCTTCGCAATGCAGAAGGACAGTGCGTCCAGCCTGACCAGTGTCCACCTTCCACATAACTGTCCACTCACTTGCGACAGGCCTCATCTGGAGTTTGCACTGAGGTGACTAGATTCTCCAAATCAATGTTTTGTTATCTGTTTTTCATGTTGTCTCCTTTGCAGCAGTATCTCGTCAACTTCTGTGAATACGAAAACGAATATGTTCGAGGGCTTAATGGACAGTGCAGGCGTGAAGGTCGATGCCCGAGGAATCGCCAGGAGTGCAAACTCAATGTTTCTAAAAAATATTCAGTTAAAATGCATTTTTCTATTCTTTTTATCGTCGCTCAACTTTCTGCTTTTCTATCGTTTTAGCGAAACGATGAAAAAATTATTATTGTTATCTCTCGTTAAAGAAAATAAAGACGGGCTCCCCTGATATCGGTTATCTATACGAGTTTTTGTGTCAATAAACAGTGATATTTTTCCATTCTCGGAGAATTGTTGATCTTGTTATTTATGAATCATGTTCCAAACATGGAAATTTTGCATTTTTGTTTATATAGCCGATGATGCCGACAACAGAAGTGTTGGAGGGAACTTGGAATTATAATTGGATCGATATTGAGACATTGGAACCCAACTTGAAGGCGTTGCGCCTCAAAAGTTGAGAGTTTGAATTTTTAAGGGGAAATGTAATTTACGTTTTCTTGAGTAGAAATTATTGAGGATAACTAGGAATATGGAAGGGGTGTATTTACGTCACGGTGATGGAGTCCTGTGTATGCGTTGGCACGCTCTCGTGGCAGGTGCTTGGTCGTAGTCAATGTGCTGCCCGCACGATTTCAAAGATAAAAACATTGGACATACATAATTACTTGTTGTCTAAGCTGCAGCATATGCATTCATCAAATTCCCGGGGGAATGTACGGAGAAATACGTGATTAAATTTTCAGTTTATCCGCGTGATCTCTATCAGAAAAGCTATACGAATAATTATACCTCAAACAAATCTACAAAAAAAAATCTTTAATTCGAAAATTCTACATAAAATGAAATGAGGAATAATATTTGAACGTTTGAATTGATGTCATAAATACGTAAACTATTCCAATAAAAAGACTGATAATTATTCCATTAAAAGTCGCGTGGTTGGCACGCGTCTCCAAGGATGACATCCGGTGTCCCTCCATACGAGTCAACCAATTACCGGAAGTCACTTCCCATAGTCAGTCGGTTGATTCCGAAGTATCAGGCCACCTGGTTGTTATGAAAATTCAACACAATGAACACATTCACTTACACGTGTTAAAACCAGAGGTCTGCCCCCTTTGATTGTCGTTTGGGGAATCCATAAAAATGTCACGACTGTCCGGAAATTTCAGAGGAACAGTTTTGGGATGTTTATACCCAGTACGAAATGGCTTTATCGAAAAAATTTTGGGAGGTGAGTTAACGACAATTCCCTCGCTGTAATTCATGCACTCGTTGCAACAGTGTGCGTCCTATCCGGCGGTCCAATCTCGATACGGGTACTGTGTGTGTATGCGCAATGCTTTCTTAGTGCTACACAGTCGTAAATAAAATTGAATGATAATATCGTTTGTTTTAATTCAACATTGTATTCATGTTTATTTTTTTTTTATAGAACCCAGTAAATTGCATTGGGGCATGGGGATACTTGATTGCTCAATAAGTCACTGTAGTAGGGAAAAATACAAATGTCGAATTAAAAAATAAATTCAAAATTGACAGTAATTAGGACAACAAGTTGAACCTTTAAAAAATGATGAGACAGGCAATTTTTTTAAATGAATTTTTCATTGTAATTAATTATTGAGTAATAATTTTGTTCAGGATCATTCAAATTAATTTAGTCTATTGTGACTGAAAATTGACTGAAATTCTTGTTTCAATACTAGAATTTTTCTTGTGTTCCATAAAAAAAATAATCAAGCGTACCCCTCCTCGTATTTATTTACATATTCATCCACAATTTTCTTCAGTTGTCGCTCCCTCGAATCCAGGGCAATGTTTATTATAAATTGTCAAATGATTCCCGTCACGGATTTAATTTCCATGCAATTGTCAAGATTGATATCCCCGCAATTCTTATTTATGCCCATTATTATTCCTTCAACTCTTATTTCTTTAATCACAATCTTAATTGAAAATAATGGATCTCGGTGAATGAGGGATCCACCTTCTGAGCGTATGCATAAATTTAAAAGTTGAAAACGTGTTTTCGTGTAGACGCGGGTGTGTAACGGAAGAGGATGATGCCAGACCCGGTCGATCAACGGTATCAAGTTTTTTGGCGACTGGAGACCGGGAAGAAAGAAGTCCCGACCCCCGTCTGTATCCCCCGCACAGGACCATTCATAATCATTAGGGCTATGGTACACTCCGCCACGGTGACTCATTATGTCACTCACGAAAAACTCGGTGGATTACACCGTGGGTGCATGCTGAGCAGAAAAATTGGTTAATTTTTTAAGACAAAAACTATTTTTCTCAGATGTCATAATTAAAATATGGACTTTTGAGAGGATTTCATAATCATTTCCTAACAATTCCCTAATGCTTATGCAATTTTATTAATTAACAAATAGGGGAATATGGAAAATGAATTTTTAGGATAAAATGACTTTAATGTACTGCTGAAATAAATAAAATGAAAAATTTCATCAAAATCAAAACTAATAAATTCATTCATTCATTTACCTGATTTTTTTATTCATGGGATATTTAATCTTTTCATTCCCCGGGATAATTAAACCAAAATTTACAATTTCCATTGATTTTTCTCTAAAATATTGACTTTTCAATCATGAAATTCCTTGACTAATTGACAATTTTATTTTCTATTCCTAAATTTCGCGGTTCATCTATTTTTCAAGTAATAGAAATTAATATACAATTTTCCGAAAACGATGAAATAATTTCATAAAAACTACTTACAACTCACTTCATTATTTCTCCAAATGAAATAATTTTCCTGTAATTTTCTTGCATGTTTATATTACTCCGTAAGATATGTCCGGAGGTACAAATTTAATAAAGCGCCTGCTGTGTACCCAGTTACCATGCTAATATTATCCAAACGTTAACCTCCACCTGACACGCGAGAGTGAGAACCCAGCGCAAAAAAGTGTGCCAACTTTAAATGAGAATGGCTCGAATAATGCGAGTCCTTTTATGACACCCACTATTTTCCCAGAGCCACGCTCTCTTCATCTTCAATTTGAACCGCAACATTCATACGTTTCTCTCCGACTCAATGCACTCCGCTATTTTTATTCTACGGAGCGATAGATTGAATAGATTGCGGGTCTAAATAAGGTGTAAGGTGACAGTGGCTGAGGATGCGGGCGCAGTTGATCTAAGAGCCAGCAGTCGTCTAGTGCAGGTGGAGAAATGTACGTTTCTTCGAGCAAGGTGCGTTTACAACCACAAACGGTGGTCTAGGTACATTTCAGACGGTTTCATACTTCATTTCATAATTTATCATTTCAAACTGTCGGGAATAATTTCGAGATCTCGTTGCTCGCCAGTGAATTTTAAAGGGAAAGACGAATGAGAGAAGGAAATTCCTGTGATCTATGCGCGGCTTTCATTTTATAATTAGAGAGAAGAATAATTAAATTTTAGGTGCTTCAACACCCAAAGAAATGATTCATTTAAATTAAATAAATGTTTTATTTAGGATTTCATTCAAAGCGAATCAATAGTTCTTTTTCATATAAAGAACTGTTTTTGATCTAAATAATTTCATTCGTTAGAACGGGAACTATTGTTTAGACGAAGAATGATTTATTAACATGTAATCATTTTTTATTCGGCTCTAATGAATTTTCTTTGATCCAAATGCGTCATTTCTCTATTTGAATTGATGATTTTCTCGGTATTAATAGAAAATTTAATTGTATACATCGGGAGATTTTCAATTATCAAATTTGTCAATCTAATTGTATGAGAAAAATTGCTAAAAAATAGTTAATAATCAGTAATTAATGATCGATGATTTTTCATAAATTATTCGTGAAGAAGATAAAATTCTTCGAAAATTGAAAATTTTCAAAATTATTTTATCATTATTAATAAAACAGTAATAATAGATTATCAATATGTACATTATTATTTACACTTATTGAAATTTTTTATGAGTATCTAATTCTTATTTTTATTACTTCATTATTTTTGGATTATTTCAAGATTTTCGATCATCAAATTGGTCAAATGAATTGATCAAATGAATTTCAAAGAAGGATTTTCAAATTGTAAAATTAATATTTCATAAATAATTCACAGAAAATATCAAAATCTTCAAAAATTTAAAATTTTCAAAATGATTACTTAAAAAAATTATGACTAATTAGATTCACAAAATAATTCCTACCGCTATGAAATGAACTGAAATAGACCTTCAAGTTGATCCAATAAAATCATCCCAAAATATCCCCTTAGCATTTCAAAAACCTCGTTAACAACCCACAAATCCTCTAGCCCTTGTTCTCTCCCACATCCACCGTTGTCCAATTACCCGACAAACCCGCGATTAAAATTCCCCCATTTTCCAATCCACCCCCTCCCACTGCCACCCACCCACCCACTAGAAAGTCCAATTAGCCTCGACTACCCGTCTCCAATAATTGGCGAAACAGCGTAGAACCCGAGTACGACTAAACCCCGCCATAAAACTAGCAATATCCCGTCTCAATAACAAATCACAAAGACGAGTATATTCACACCATCCCCCTTTACCTCATTTTATTCAAAACGTTTATTTCATCTGCACATAACACCCGTCTTAATTTATCGTCCGCGTCCCATATTTCGTGCATTCAAAATGCCCGAGTGCGTGTGTACGTGGCGCTAGCGGGCTTTATATTCCCCGGGGTGTAAATATAATCGAGTTGTAACACCGTGGGCTGTGTCATATCAATAAAAAATAATATTTTTCATCGTAAAAAGCTCAAAACGATGGCTCAAGTGGTGGGGATTGGTCAGGAGTAATGCCAATAATTTAACTACTCCGCCGGTTAGACCAAGCGTTAATTGGCTCGCTTTTAAGTACCGCAAAACGAATTACAACTATGGAATCATGAAAACCACTTCTGGCTGGCGTTCGCTTCGCGGCATAAGTTTTCAGGAGTGTATAAAATCCCCCGCGGCTCGTTAATTCTAGCCCTTAATAGGTTAGTTGCAGTTGTCCCAGTGGGCAAGGGGTTAGCTTCTTTCGCACTTGGTAAATTATTTCTTCGGGGTTTTTAGAGAGTAGCCGGGAATATTGGAATTTATCGCCGGGGGAGAGGAGGGAATGCCGCTTTTTTTTCGGAGATGTTGATAAAAGCTTGGGAATCGCAGAGTGGGACAGTCCCAGCAGTGCAGTGGGTTTTGAAGAAATTGTATTTATGTTGCTGGTGCTGATAAGCTGTGACAATATGAAATTTCATAGATAAGAGAAAGTTTTAGTTTCCGGGGATCTGCTGCATTCTAAA